AGGTGGATTTTGATCTGTTCGCCGAGCTTGGCAATTGGCTTGCAAACGTTTCGTCACCATACGAGGAGACATCATCAGTGCGCAGTGATGATGCCTCCTCGTATGGTGACGACAAGTTTGCAAGCCAATGGCCAAGCTCGGCGAACAGATCAACACCCACCTGATGAACAACCAATAAACTCATCCGAGCTACCAATATTTCACCACATTACTGAAAGGACGAGTTACAACACCGGCTTCGATGCAAGCATTTCTGAAACGATCACTCCGGTTAGTCGCTGCTGAAAATTGTTTTCCTGAACCGACTGCTGGTTAGTGAGCTTTGAAAATTGTTTTACATTGTCGAGTACTTACCTTGAGTTCTGCTTATACTGGAGATCCTCAGCGTTAGCAAACACTTACATATAACATAGATGGAATAACAATTCACTCTGACATACATGAACCGAAGCTCTCCGTGGACACACAAGAAACCTTAAATATATTCTTTCATGCGTGGATCTGCATCAAGAAAAAAATTAGCATTCCTTTTGAAGTTTTATTGGGACACTTTAGGGAGGATGTTGTGGTATGATAGACTAGGAAAAATTTCCCTGGATTTTAGAGACCATGATTTCATCTGTCTACTCACTGCAGACGACCCCTTGGAAGGTAAGTCCAACACAAATATGAAAAGAAGAAAACAATTTGAAAGGAAGTTTTGTAGAGTCCGATTGGATTATTCGCTCTCTTTTGTCTTCTTTTATGAACACTTTTTTTAATTAGGCGTTGAGGATTTCGAGTTACTGACAAATTTCGTCAAATAAGTTTTTCACCAAAAGATGGATGTGAACCGGTGCACAGGAAACCATGAAAGCTACAGATTTCGTAAAATGCAAACATTGTGTAGCTAGTGCGAATGGTTCCTAACTATCTCGATAGGTTTATGCACATATCATTTCATTTTTTCTTTAAAGTAGAACGCTACTGATTACCAAGTTCAACCTATCTTCCTAGGAAAAAACCCCTCACGGGTACAGACTAAGTGTTGCTTGCAAAACTGTTTCTTCTGAGGATTAGGTCGGTTGTAAAATATGCATCAAGAAAAAACCAAACGTATCTCCTTCTGGCAATCCAGCTCATAAATCATAAAACTTCCAAATCAGTTTCTCATCACTTTGGTGGCAAAATCACAGAAGCGATAAACTGTCCTGTCAGACAAAGGTTTACGTCCAGAATGTACTCAAGAATCGCCCAATTTTCCATGTTTATAGATGTACGATACTTGTATCAGGAAAAAGAACAAAAAAGTAAGCAGCACACGTTTTCTTCCACCACCGCTTTCACAGATTTACTACGTTCGTAAATCAATTAATCCTCACAAACTTCACAAACTTGGTAGGCTATCCATTAATCTTGGTATGTTTTCCATCGGCGTTCGTCTTTGATATCGGCGAAATTCAAAAATCCAATTTGTGTTGGATGTCAACCGAAAAAGAACGTCAAATACTGCACTCACCGGGATGTTATGCTAGTGCGAACGGGCAACCCAAACGAATACAAGCTGAATCTAGCGAATATACACTCATCTAATTTGGTTCTTTCGAGAGACTCACCTGGAACCCAGCTGAATCTCTCGTTTATGATGTTCTCAGGCAACTGAATGTGCTGCACCAGGCCGCCTCATGTTTCAGTCGCTACGATATTTGAAATATTGCGATACATGTATATTTGTAATGTACTACTCATAAGGTTGCTGATATCATGGATGTCATGATGTCGATGGATTTTCAGCAACCTTATGAGTAGTACATCACAAATAACCATGCTGGATCTCTTCTTTGCGATTCACTTCAACTGTTTGCGCCGATAAAGCCAGTACATTTTCTTGGCGAAATTAGCTGATCCCGCCGTTAATGCCGACTTAGGTTATTCCGCGAAATTTGACTTCAGGTGAATAACGTTTTGCGAAAACTAGCGAGTACATTTATCCAAAGATCTCAAGATGCACAAGATCTATCAAGGGCTGCCGAACAGTTTTCAACAACATTTTGATTAGTATGTTTCGTAAAAAACAGAGTTCTGAAAAGCCTAGCATTATTTTGTGACGAGACCAATGAATAAGCTACTCATAAGGTTTAGTTTTATGTTTTAGAATTTATTAACCATTGGGCCGCATAATGAATGAATGTGGCACTCCATTCATTCAAGAGTACACCCAGTAGGACCGACCAGGTTTTTACAAAAAAGTTCAGGTTTCATCTACCGTTATGAGCACCTGCTTGTTAGATACCACCTGAAGTCAGCAACATAATATCTTCCTTAGGAGAGCTGATTGCAAATGAAAGAATTGGGATACAACACATAAAAGCAAACTGCATCCACCAAATTGCTTGGTGTGTATTCGTTCATTCAGCTGTAGCACCCTTTCGGTGCCCAACCGCCATACCACCCGAAGGAAGCACGATGGCTGGGATACTGCTAGGTTCCCAAAGCCTAGACAGGGGAAGTCGAGAGGCAGAGGTCGGGTTCGAACCACGAACCTTCCGGTCAGTAAATTCGCACTCTAGCCACTTGGGCCATCTCGCAGTAAATAACCGAGAAAACGTTTGCGCGATGTACTCTATAAATCCGATTTTATGTGGATTAAAATTGCACTTCACCTGTAATCAAGGCTTATTTTGTCAAAATTGGTGTAGATACAATTCATCACGACGCTGCGTAATTCAACACTCACCTGTTGCTCGTAACGTGGGGAGGGGTAGACGAAATTGCTCGTTCAAATGTTTTACAGAGGTTGTCACTTCTGCCTTACCTTTTTGACCAGTTTCTATCACACGAGAAAGATGTTCCAATGTTCTTTAATTTGTAGTTTTTTGGTTGGAGAAATGAATGGCGAAGTAGATCGGCAAATTCAGCTGGATTTTCTCAAAAATTGTTATTCGACTGAGGCCTCAGGAAATATGCACTTTGGATATCCAACTAAATGTGCAAATTGCCTCTGAGTTTTCATTTTTCCGATTACTGAGAACAGATTCTGCAGCCGGTATCTCCGAACCGCGGAAGTCTATTTGTAAATAACCAGTAGGTGTGCATGATTCACTAATCCCACGATGAAAACAAGCGCTTTTGTTGAATAAAGCAACGCCGTCACATGTTTGCATGTCGATATTTTTCCCTGGTTCTCCGCTTTATTTGGGAACACAGCCATTCATTTCCAAATGCTTGTCTTTTTTCATTCTATTTGCAGGCAACAGCGGTTACCGTACATCTACTGGTGAGTTGATACACTGAAAGGAGCTATTCGTATCAACTGAAATTAACTCTGTCTTTCACAGTTGGTTCGCAGGATCAATAGACATTTCCATATTCCATTGTCAACAACAACCTCTTTCGTATTGTCAAGAGTTTGCCATCTATAGACGTGTGAGTTAGCAGCAATCTGCATCCACCAAATACCTTGGTGTGCAGTAAACGAAGCAAACATTTGATGGCTCAAAAATTTTACAGAGGTCGTCACTTCTGCTCTTCCTTTTTGACCAGTTTCATTCATACGAGCAAAATGGTCGAATAATCTTTAATTCGTAGTTTTTCTGGTTGGAGGAATGAATGACAGCGTACATCTGTGAATTCAACCGCATTTACTCAAAAATTGTTATTCGACATGGGCTCCAGGAAATAGACACTTTGAACATCGAACTAAATATAGCGTTGCTAAATTTAGAACAAGCGTGTTATGGTTTATTGAGGATAAGGATTTCTGTAGTCTCCGGCATACAAAAATTCCTATCAAAATCATTGGTACCTGTTCCCGGTGGTAACTTCCTCCACATAATGGTCGGCTCCGAGGAGCAACAGCAATATAAGCGGTTATATGTTTACCACAGTACATACTTGAACTCTTGTGTGTGAATATAAATCTGTAGAATATATTCAGTTGGCGTGTGGTGTCCGCGATCAATCCAATGGAGCTGCCTTTAATATTTCCGAATTAACCGGACCAATCAGGCTACTCCAACTGTATCTATTCCACCACAAAATAAGCTAATCATTCGGCGCACAACTTTAAGTTAGATTTATGACAATGTTCACCTCTTTATACGAAGAAAGCGTAAGACTTTCGAGGAATACCCACATTTGCGGATGTAACTTGTGGTAACGAGAGTCTCAGCTGAATGTCAACTAAATCATCAGCTTCTGACTGGTGAAATGTCGAATCAACGCGGCTAATTCATTTTTTCAATCATCACACACCCTAATCCGTAAACTAAATGCCAAAACGTACTTTTAACTTACATTAAAGGTGACCCATTGGAAGGTAAGCATGACATTTTACCTACAGTATTTACAAAGATGACATATTTTCGACAAACTGTAACACATTTATTTGAGGATGATAAGACAATAACACTGTCGTTTCATTGTACAGTCCATTGAGATTGTAAAAATCAAGTGAATATCCCGTTTGTCTCCTCCAAGATGTACGATACCTCTATCAAGATAAAAAGCAGAGTAAGCGTTCAGTAATCTTGTTGCTATCGATTTGAATTTTCTAATGTCGGCACAGTTTCCGAGTATTCTTTTCCCATCCTTCATTGTCTGCAATAGAGACTTACGTGGTGAAGTCTATCTGGACAGCCATCCACGTCACAGTTCCTGTGTGAAGCAGATCCGGATGAGTGTAGAATATATTCAAAAAAATTAATTGTAGTTGTGAAGAAAAGACGTTGTTTTTCAGAGTCGTGTACACATAGCCCATTAGCAAGAAAGCAGAGATGACGCTACAGTCTCAGCGTCAACTGTGAAATGCATACTACTTTAACAGCCATGATTTGTCTTCGACTTTACCGAAACCCCATGGGTTATAAATCTGATCGTCTGGAAGATAATGATTGTGTGCAGCAGGTTTAGCGTTCCATGACGACGGCACTAACAGCCATGGGTAGATTTCCAGTGGAGGGATTTTCAACAAAACCACTAGTATGTCGTTCATATGTGGCATCCAAAATAAAATAATGGAGTTTGATCCCTCAAACGGGCTAAAATATCTCTGAAAACCGGAGAGTGGAGGGTGGACATTAGAAATTCATACGGTACATCGAAACGAGCAAAATCGGCATTGCTTTGTGGTGGACCTTGAAAATAGCATCGTGTAACTTTTTAAATCAGGCATCATAACATATCATTCAAATTTTTCTCGTCCGTTCAAACAATTTCGTACTAACAAGACAGAATTTCTTTCTCGAGTGGATATGTTACATACCAGTGGTGTGCCTTGGCTGAAATATCGAATCCAGTTAAAAGATAGCAGTTGGTGGCTGTTGTTCATAGTCCGAATGAGTCTGAACTCGTACAAACGCAATCATAGTTATACATGCCAAGCGCATGAACCGGGAGAGTGTTGTATTAGGGACTGTTCATAGTCGGAATGAGTCTGCACTCGTACAAACGCAATCATAGCTATACATGCAAAGCGCATGAATCCGAAGACTTATGTGAGAATTTTTGAAGGGGTCTTTCTGCATCTTGCTTCGATGGGATTTGAATCACCGATAACCGACCACGATATGGTGGAGAGCTAAGTGCTGATTGCCCGACGGCTTCAAATTTTTCGATTCCATTCAGGAGATTCTTCAACTTCTGTGTTGGTAGTAGAGTACAGAGTTTGGAGTTTTGGGTAATTGTTAAGTGCGGTCATCTAGAATTAATTAATTAATTGGTCTAGCCCACGAAACGTCCGCACAATAGCCCACCCAAATTCTTTGTAACGTTCATGTAGATAGTTTAGCACATTAAACAACCGTTCATTCACATTTTGAGAATCAGGTAATCTAATTGTCAACCAATCTGGACCATTGAAGCATTGCTTTTAAACACGGAGCCCAACAACTACGGCGGCCTATTCTCTATATTCGTCATCATAGTCATCAGCGATGGCAACATCAGTTTTGACACTGATGGTTCACTACGGTATAACCGTATGTTTTGTCCAATTATATCTGACGCCCCAGAGTGAAAACAAGGAGAAAGTGAGTGAGGCAGGGGACGTCGTGATGGTCTATGTAAAGCATTCTGAGGTGTCCACAAATCCAGGCAATCTTGGATGAAACTGACATCGATTATCCGCCATTTCGTGCAGCGTTTTCAGTCAAGCACGGGTGGGGTCACGGGACCACATCCTGCAATGTGTACATATAACAGCACCAACACCCAAAACCTTCGTAATCTCTTTCATGCCCATCTTCCAAGCCATACGTTGTCCACCTCGCGGTTTCAATCAGTCTGAAGGAGGAACAGAGAACAACACCCTTCTCGGTAGACGGCATTTTGGCATGCACAGCACATGACTAAGCTATCATATTCGGTTGGACTGGATTTCGTTCCCGGTTGAAGTACTTGCAGCACAAACAAATGACCGTTTCCTAATCACCTCGTTGCCAATCCGCTGATGTCATTAAAAACCAGAAATGCTGAGGCATCGGTGGTCGAAAACCTGAATGCGCCTCACATTATCGGTCCGCAGAGGCCACGTCTCGCATTCCGGGATAAATTATAGCCAGATGGAAAATTTGTATTCTCTGCATAGATGCACAAAACGTCGTAGTAACCTCTTCAAGAAAGAAATTGCTTTCAAAGCATTCGTTTCCTGCAGATGGAAAACCATCTCCAGTTACTTAACAGATTACGAGACGGTCTTAAGAAGCAACATTTCAACCGTGTCCCGAAGCAAGGGGTACTTGCTTGTCCCCGTCAAGGCGTACCAACATATCGTGAGTGAGATTATTTGTTATTGGAATCGAGAAGATGGCATGTCACCAGTCGTTTCCATTTAAAAAAAATCTATCACAGCAGGCCTTGAAAACCAATTTTCAACCCCGAGTCATTTGAGGCAGCCATCAAACTTAGCCATTGAGTTTCATCATACACTTTTTCTTTTTTTGCAGTAACTGACGAAGATTTCCAAAATTTTCCTAGATTAAGTCACAAGCTTTATCACCTTTTTCAGGAACCTCAAGGAAAACCAGGCGCAACCGAAGGAGATACGCACAGGGTAAGTTAACATTATAGCTTTTTCTGTTTCAGTTCTACTTGCGATTGAAATCATTCAATTCGCACCTTTGCATCTGGGACCTGTAATGAAAGTTTACACACGTACGACCGAATGAATAGACCTATAGGTGATAAATGATGCATATTGGGCTGCATCATCATTTGATTTGTGTGCTTTTTTTAGGCGTTCACCCGAAATCTTCTTCTAGCTTTCACGCCTGGAGCCGCTGGACATTATACTGATTCCATCACCAATTTCATTTTCACTTCTGAACAAAGGGAGACGTTGGCTACTCAGTAAAACATTGTGTGCAGAAACGCTGGCAACAGTCCCCTAAAACCAAATTCTTCCTTGTCGTTGACAACGACACCAGAGGAGAACACTGTAGAGACTCAAATGGTATGAGACTGGTTGAGATGTACACTTCATGGGTGTGCGTGGGTCGAGCGTCTACATCTGGGCAGAAGGAGGTCAAGGTCCCCAACCAAAGCATTTGACCGAACTCCTGTCCGTAAGTCTGCAACAGTTGGCCCAAGACGGTCACAGCAACCAATATGTCTGAGGATCAAGCTGCCAATTGGAGGAATTGTGCTAACGATAGTATAATGAGTAGATACTAATCTCCCACTTTCCGTTCACGAAACTGGGCTTCCAGACCATCTAATACAACGGCCATTTGAACGGAGGGCCTCCTAAGTCCACTGGAGTACCTCCTTTAGGATGGGTGGAAAGCACCTTCTAAAATCAATGCTGTTATTTGGTATTGCTTTTTTGCAAGACTTCGGTTTCGAACCAAATTGTTCCAAACTCATGAAAATGAACAGTACTCGGGTGGCTCCTAAGTATATTGGGTGTATACGTGCATAAACTTTTTATCAGAGTTTTCTGTCTAAAATTCCATCTGTCTGCGTGAATTGACTGTAAGCTGACTTCGGTTTCACGAGGCGTTGTTTTCTGCCAGTTGTTTGCAACATAAATTAGAAGCATTTTTAATATGTAATGTAAATGCCCATTATTCTCATGTTAGTGGCAAAATTTTCCACCAAACTGGAAAGAATAAAAAAATAAAAGGAAAAATAGGGACGAATAATTGTTTGGACTCTTGTTTCAGGCTCATTCGAATTTTTCCAAGTATTATTGTGTTGTAAGGAGCGCATCTGAAATACGTGTTGAGTCATTCTACTTAATAGACTTTAGGCCAATCGCATAGTTATACATTTCCCTGGAATAATGATTTGATCATGCGCGCAAATGGCGAACATGTTGTCGGATCTTCACTTAGCAATCTATCACCCGACCGTTTCAAGTGCGACTGGAGCTAATCTAAGCGACTGTCTTTTTCGATGTGTTTCGCCCACGAGGACGATTGACAGTTCATGCTCACGGATGTCGGTTACTCGTTTAAAGTCGCTAGCACTTGATTCAAACCAAGTTTGAAATCTAAAACCATATTCTTTTTCGTGCAGAAACCTGGTTTCATTATTTATAGTTTTACTTTCCCAAGATGAATAAATTTTGTCCGCAATATTTAGTGTTTAGCATAGCACCTGTCGGTACTATTTCGCTACAAAATTGCATACCACGTTTCTGATGGTTTTCCCAGGGTGTTTGTTGTCAACTATTTCTTGATTTGCTCTTAACATTTTTGAATTTAGTTTGAGTAATTACTCTCCGGGTAGACGAATCTTCTAAGCATATATAGATCAACTTCATCTGCAATATTTCTCGCTCCATTCCTGAATAGGACCATCAGTCAGCAATACCTACAGGACTTCCACTGGTAAGTTCAAACATGAAACACGTGATGTGCGGCTGGTAACCGCATAATTCGAGGTCGACAGAAGAAACATGTGTAAAGTCAAACAGGAAAAGTGCTAAGATCCATTTTGTCGTCCACATAGAAAAAATGTCTGAAAAGAAACAAATTTTTTGCGATATCTTAGGACTGGATTATCGCACGGTGTTACCGCGCTTGTGTACTTTAAAGGTCATGCGTTTTTTAAACCCAGAAATATGAATAGTGACTTAAAGCTGAAGCGATTGAAGCAACCCTCATAAGCCTCAGGACTACGCCAAGTCACGACAATTTTGTATTGAATCTCACTGCTGACGAATCAACACCAACGGATCAACATCAATAGTCAGGTTCCGCTGAATGATGGAACTTTGCGCTGGTGGGAAATTCCGAGGTCGGAATTGTGTTAGAACAAACTAGAACCTATCAGCGTAACACATTCGTGAGAGCTAATTCACTTTGGATGTTTACTCGATCAAGCTTTTTGGGATATAGTTAGTAAAACTGGAGCACAGCACATACAAGTTTGTCTTCTCTCTATTTAATCGTTGGTGTGCTGCATCCAGAACTATTTTAGGTCTACGCACCTTAAACAGGTAGATGAGAAGACGCCCATTACTTTGGCATCAACTTATTCGAGTGACGTATCCAAGTGGAGAACGTTATCGCTTTAGAATTATTTTACTCTAAGGCATTTCCACATTATGTCCAAACTTCACCAACACTCTTCTCCCACCTTCCAGATGGACCCAGCTTAAGCTATGGAAACCCCTACAGCAGTGGATACGGTATGTTGTGTATCGCACAAATTGGATAAATAAATTTATTGCTTGAGCAATCGACCACGAGAAAAAAACATTTGATCTTAAACGGATGCCTTCCGGAATATGTTGGATGGCGTCCTACATGCTGAAAAAATAGTTATTCCACATGTGGCGATCGAATGTCTGATAACTTACAGTGCAGTGGAAGGTTTTCCCTAAAGCATCGCTCCCCTTTCGTTTGGCATAAGAACACTTTCTTTTGCCGGCTTAATGATATTTATATTCCGCGTATGTCTTAAATCCAGCTAGGTGAATAGTAGAAATAATCCACTCACTCGGCGAGTTCAACAGTTTATTGCCACGCAGTGTAGAAGTGAATCCCGTTACGGGACCACCGATTGTGTTCAATTCAAAACTTCACATTTTACTAGTGTTCCGCGCTGAAATCTCTTGTAAATTTGCGCTAGTATTTCCAACATACTCGTATGCATCTGTATCCAGTGTCATATAGTTGTTCATCTCTCTTGCGCAGCCTCACATTTCAAAAAGTTATCGATCGAATTTTTCCTGAGGCATTGTGTAGATCTAAAACCAAGTGAAACACACCTACTTTGAGACGATCCGGGCAGACGAGTAAAGTGTTTTTACCCAAAAAGCGTAGCAGTCAAACAACAGGTTGGTTTCCTTGCCCAACTGATCCCCGACCTTTGTAGATGCTTCAGGCGGACAAGTTGATGATAGTAAGGATTGCTCTTGTAGGCATCTTTGCTCATGAGTCGTACATTGCCTGAGCATCCTACGTTGCAGATATCAGTCCGAACAACATTCACAACATGGCTGGACATTGTATGGTTTAGGCGTCGTCTAGTGGGGGGGGAGTAATATTTATGGTCAAGTCGAATAAATATCAGGGACAAAATTACTCGCTTTTCGTGTCGGTTTAAAACATCTGTCAAAGTGAACGAAAGCACCATATTTTTGTCCGATTGAAGATCGGTATCAAACCGAGCTCCGGTGCGAGATAGCTGCCAAGATTGCTCAGAAACGTATTGATGTATGTTTTGAGAAGGTCGCGTTAAGATGCGTGTTGGCAGCCTAAAATCAGTCGATAACGAGGCCATAAACCATGGAAGCAGTTTCTGGAGGATATATCCGTCTATAAGCAGTCCGACTCCTTTTAAAGAGAGATTCTTCAGCATCTTGGGATTGTTGTTTGTATCTCTTATCTTACCAATCATAGCATATCCAAGTATTTCATGAATTCCCACGATAACCCTACGGAGATCTCATATTATTCTTTTGTTCTGGTACCTCCGTGATGGCGAGTCCCAAAGTGACAGGATTTACGGCGAAGATAAATTTCTATATCTATATTTACGTAAAAAATGAGATATGTTCTTTCAAGCTAGTATTCCTCTGCTTCGTCTCCTATATGAGTGTATCTCAAAATGTGCTGGATGCTATTTGGCAATCTGTCTTCCTCCACTGGAATTCCACACAAAACTCGGTGTCCACATATAGGATTAGCGCCACGGGATTTGGAAGACAAATTTGTTGCTGATAAAGGATTTCGCAACCAGGGAAAACCAAAATCTAATTCTGTTTCAAAAGTAGCTTCATATGAAAGTTGTTCTTGGGCCTCCTGTATCAAAGAGAAGCCAAGTTACTCAGGGGTGTGCTGCAAAGTCGTTACATTCCGATTTATTTGTAACTGAGCGTAAGTCTCCATAAGTGCTCAGCCTACAAACGGAAGATAAGGATTGCCTAAATGAGGCTGGGCACAACCGCATTTTATTCTACCGACTATCGGCCATACAGACGCCTAAATGACTAGGTACTGACATCTTTTGTTTGAAAACGAAATTTGAAACGAAAGTATTCTGATAGTTTTTGGGCAAACGCTATGGAGATGCAGTGCGCTCATCCTTGCTGCATTAGGATTGGTTTACGGTAGA